GTAATTGTTGCCTTTGGGCCTCAGCTTCTGCCCAACGAACAGCAGCTCCGAAGAGACGCACTTCCCGTACACCAAGTGTGTCTCTCTCCAGGACTGCTACGAGGGTATCTGCACAGGACAGAACATGAAACAGTCTATTTCGGTTTCATTTTTTATGTATTTTGTTGTGATATTGGATCAGTTGGTACTTAAGAGCAATACCAAGGTCAACATCCGTGAAGCCCTCAGCAGCGAGTGCATCAGCTGTGTTCTTGTCGATATTTTCTAAGCAGAGACTTGCCAGCTGGGGCTCGTCAAAAAGCCGTGCCTGAAAGCAAAAAGAACCGTTTTCTTTTTTTTTCTTCTTTTTCTAAATATAATCTATAATAGACTGTCCACAAAAGCAAGCAACAAACACACTCAATAAGCTTGAGGCTCTGTTTGCTAGGATTTGAAAGAGATCTGTCGAACACAGCAAACTCAAGATGGCTGGGGAACGAACTTGAAACAAAGGTGTTGTTCTGTGTTCAATATGTCAGTTCCCCGTGCCAGCATCAAATCTGACCCAACCCCCTGTGATTACCTGGGTAAGCAACATAAATGCGTTGTCAGCGCGTAGGTTTTTCTTCAAGAATTCAACGCAGTGGGCCTCAAGCGCAGGTACTGCATACTTTTTGGCTGTGTATAATGTGGTCATAACGGTCTCTGGTCCAATTTGCACTTCATCTGAGTATAAAAATCTGTTGGCAAAGAAAGGGAAAACTATTTTAGACTGATAGATTCATAGAAGACGGATAAATAAGTTGTCAACTAGACAAACAGACAGGCCATGAGACAATTTGTCAGACAGACAGTCTGCCTGATGAAATCTAGCCTGACTCTAAGATAGATAGATAGATAGATAGATAGAGAGATAGAGAGAGAGAGAGAGAGATAGATAGATAGATAGATAGATAGATAGATAGATAGATAGATAGATAGATAGATAGATAGATAGAATGTCCCTTTATTTATTAGAGTTTTTTTTTCTGCCAACAATGTCTAGAAGTTGTTTGTTTTCCCCTGACAAACATTTACCACGGTCAGTGTTCCCGCCAAAATATCATAGTTACAGCCGCCACAAACACTGTCTGGTACTATTGTTGTTGAGGACTAGCAGAAACAGAAAGTGTATGCTATGTTGGCGGGAAGCACGAATATATACCGCGATAACGGTTTGCAAGGGTCTGCCATATGGATTAAAAATGGCAGAGGGCACCTGAAGGACGTTATGACAACAGGGGTCAACAGACAGAAGAGCAGCACAGAGCATTAAAGCGTGCAGCGAAGCTTTACGCGGCCCATTCTTACTTGAGAAGGGCTAGAAATGCAGCCGGTTCCACATCTGGCAGTTCAATTTCGGTCGACGTTGTTGCCATGCCACCGTTGAACATGGCATCAAACACGGCACTTCCCACAGCGAGAGCAAATCTGCGGAGAGCAACGGGAGCGGACTGTAAACACGGCCATTTGAGGAGGAAATATGGATTTATCCTCGCCGAGACAAAATGCTTTAACGTTACTTTTATAAATCAATCGAGCGGGGGAGAGTTTTGCATAAGCTTTGAAATACAGCATCAATTCAAAAAGAACAAAGACTCCAGTAAAACATATAAACATACCGCTATTCATCCCTACCTGTGCGCTGGAATGCGCTGCACTCCCATTCCCTTCCCAACCAAAAAATGGACGTCACTTAGCACTTCGTTGTTAAACAAAAATGCAAACCTTTCTTTCACTGTACTTTTTGTCGCTTGCCAGTTGTAGACCGGCTCTCGATAAACCAAAACCGAAGCCGGGCTGCTGGGAAGCGAGGAGACGGCGGCGGCGGCGGACGCATCGGCGGAGGAGGATGCGGTAGACGCGGATGAGGATGAGGAGGAGGATGATGATGATGAAGATGTCGCCGTCATGTTTGACGCAGCGCCTGAAGAGGCTCCGCTCTGGCCGACCGTCTGCCGAGGAGGGTTGTGCGCGCTCGGCGTGCTTCTCACCGCAGACTCGGTGCCTCCGCCGTTCTCCGGGCCCGACTGAGGGTTCGAATTCCCCGCGCTCCGGTTGATCCCCCCGGCTGCACCCCCGGCTCCCCTGTTGCTCGCGGGCGAAGAATGGGCGCTGTTGCTCGGCGGTGCATTGCCGAGCGGCCCCGAATTCGACAAGTTTAGACACGAGGATCGGCTATTGCTTTCACCCGCAGCCATCTTGGATGGTGAACACTGCAGGCTTTGCTGAAATAAACATACACAACAGCGCATAACCAGAAATACTGGCCAAATGACTGCCTTCCCACGAGAGACCTCAACATCACCGAGGCGCTTTTAATTACCTGGGCCTTCTTGCCTACGATTAATTTCGTTTAATATTCAGAAGATGATTTTTATTCTCTAGTTGATGCTTTTTTTGCAGAGGAGGCAGGTGGTCGGGGATTTTATTCAGTATATATAACTTACTAACGTAGAAAGTGGGAATGTTGAACTCAAAAAGAGAAAGCAAGATTCCCCTTATTTAAGTAGACTATAGCAGAAGTTGCTTGTAAGAATTACAGGTTTTTTTATTCAAATAATTTCAGAAAACTTTTACATTTAACGTTAAATCTTTTTCTACAAATAGTGTTGTATGGGGTTTATCATGAAAATACTTAGCCTACAACTTGAAGGGAAAATTTGACAAATAAATAAAATAACTGGAAATGTTAGACTTTAATACACTTACAATAACATGGGTAAAAATTACATTTCATAATTTCATTTTATCTCTACACAGTCACTGGCTGTAAATATATTAAAAGTTAAAAAATCAATGTAGAAAAATGTAAGCGCCTTAGAAAGTAAAGTCTTAAATCAAGGTAATAAATGTAAATAATTTTTTTATTATGCAGTGCGTTTTTGTATGCTAAAGTTTGTCTAAATTTAATCTGCAAATATCAGGATGCTGTGTAGTTTATCAAATCAAAAATCCTACTATAGGTTCTATAGGTGCCAACCTGCTGAATTAGCTAGATTTAATAGATTTTTATTCAGTGTCATGCATAATGTTTTAGTTTTGGATTAGTTTCTTACATTAATATTTAGTAAATATACTGTAAGTTAAAATCTCACCAGTGTTTTTGGTTGAAAAGTGGTTATAAGTTTTAAAAATTATGTAAAGAGTCTTATACAGGCCTTAAAAGGAATTGAATTTCACGCTCTGATTTCTGTATAAACTCTGAATCGTATATTTTTCGCACCCTTCGTTATTTCATTTTCCATTTTTTTATCCCATTATTCATTCTTTTTACTAAAAGTTTACCACGAAGTTAAGCAGATTTTATAGTTTATGCAGTTTTACAACAGAAATAAACCACACTTCCTGGAAACAACACACTAACGTTTATTTACATTGCTGGAGTTAGTGTTTTGAAAAAAATATGTAAATGTATCACATAAAATGATTTCTACATTAAAAGTGGCATCATGAAAATGCTGCAAATTACCGAATATCATGTATTTAACTTTAATATGGTTGAAACAACTTTGATGGAAAAACATAAATTGTGCTTGAAAGACTTTAATATAGCTATTGATTCATAGTATTTATACATGTTTACTGCATAATTGCTGACCAATTGTAAATAATCCGATAGTCTGCAGCAAAAATAAACTAACAATCATTTACGTTACAGGAATTTGTATCTTGGGGAAAAAAATGTAAATGTACCACATAAAATGATTTCTACATTAAAAATGGCATCATGAAAATGCTGTAAATGACAGATTATCATGTATTTAACTTTAATATTGATCAAATAACTGATCGGAAAACATGAATTGAGCTTGTAAGACTAATATACAGTTGAAGTCAGAATTATTAGACCCCCTGATTTATTAGTCCTCTGTTTATTTTTTTCCCCTCTAATTTCTATTTAACAGAGAGAAGATTATTAATAGTTAATCATTATAGTTTTAATAACTCCTAATAAGTGATTTATTTTATCTTTGCCATAATTGCAGTAAACAATATTTGACTAGATATTTTTCAAGACACTTCTGTACAGCTTAAAGTGACATTTAAATGCTTAACTATGTTAATTAGGTTAACTAGGCAGGTTAGGGGAATTAGGCAAGTTATTGTATGATGATGGTTTGTTCTGTAGACTCTCAAAAATATATATAGCGTAAATGGGGCTAATAATATTGACCGTAAAATGTTTTTTTTTTATTAAAAATTGCTTTTATTCTAGCCGAATTAAAACAAATAAGACTCTCTAGAAAGAATATTTTCAGACATACTGTGAACATTTCCTTGCTCTGTTTAACATCAGAAATAATTCAAAGGGACTAATATTTCTGACTTGAACTGTAGCTATTAGTGCACAGTATTTACTGCATAATTGCTGACCAATTGTACATAATTCTATAGTCTGCAACAAAAATGAAATCCTCAGAAAACGAGTTTAACTTGAAGAGAAAATTTGATAAATATGTAAAATAACTGGAAATGTTAGACTTTAATACACTTACAATAACATGGGTTAAAAAAACTATTTTCCTTTTATGTCTATATAATCATATATTATTCGCACCCTCCGTTGTTTCATTTTCCTTTTTTTTTTCAAATATTTTACTACAAAGTTAAGCAAATTTTATAGTTTATGTTGTTTTACGACAGAAAAAAATCACACCTACTGGAAACAACACACTAACGTTCTTTTACATTACATAAGTTGTTGTCTTGGGAAAAATTTTAATGTATCACATATTTCTAAGTTACATCAAATTCATGTATTTCATTTTAATGATGTATTCCATTTTAATATGGTTGATATAACTTTGATGGGAAAAAATAAATAGTGCTTATAAAACCTTAATATAGTAGCTGTTGATTAGTATTTATATATGTTTACTGCAATATCCTCAGAAAAACTCTTAAGTAACAACCCATTTCCAGTCATGCGCAATGCAGATGAAGCGAGTTCCCATTCGCTCCGCCTACCAAACCCACAAACCAATCAAACTCACCAAGGATCTGTCAATCAAACCAACATTTGTCCCTAAGCTAGCGTATGACTTAAAACAAAACAGGCACCAATTTAGGTAAGTGTACATTTTGTGTATAAGAAGCACGAGCTGTATATAAATGTAAATATATAATCTCAAATTTATATTAATAAACTGTCGAAATGAAGACGCGATAAATGCAAGTATTCTGAGGTTCAACGGAGGCTAGTTAGCCAACTATGCTACTTTAGCTAATCATAATAACCGGGGAATGCAGAGTGAAGTTTTTATAAACATTAATGCACCAAAAGCTCCGTGCATGCGTGCTTTTAAATTCGTAATTTACTACATCTTTTATGAGGACAAAACTATTTAATAAACGGTCGATTTATGTATTGTCCGTGTTTTCATATCTAGACAGCGTTTTGCAGCTGTAACGTTACAGCCAGCATTATTATTTGATATACCTGATATTTCTTTCAAATATTATTTGTTTTTAATATTTTTTCTAGGCAACATTGTAGATTTATTATGATAATTTTAGTATAATAAGTTAACTTTATTTATTAAATTATATAAATGTCAATTAGTTATTTTAGTATGGGTCAAACCAAAAGAAGAGAAATTTTGCATGGCAGCTTGCTGAAATAAGATTTTTAATATTATTTCATTTGAGTTGACATTATTTTTTGGTAATTATAATGTTTATATTTCATTAGGTACTGCATTTATTTATAGTTTTAGGCCACATTTACCGCACAGTAGTGTGCTTACATTTTGCAAATAAATGACAGCATTCTCTGCTCACATAAAAAGTAAAAATAATTAAAACCATGTGTAATTCAATATTTTACTGTTGTCTTTATATCACGTATAGTGTTGCATGATACCAAAAGTTTGACTTTAATACAATATCTAAATTAAATATCTTGAAACCCATACTAAATTGATACTACACCTTATTTTTTTATCTTTAAATATTATTTATTAATGAACACTCAGTGTGTGCTGTCAGCTAAAACAGAGTAGAACCATTTTACAAAGTAAAACAAATCTAAAAATAAAAACAAATTTTGCCAGTATTCCAGCTGAGCTGTTTTAGCATAATTAAAATAGTTGCTGCTTTGTTTTCAAAACTAGACAAAAGTGCACATAACTTTTTTGGTCAGGTTTTCAGAGAACCTGGAGATGTTGGTCCTCATTGTACAATGTACATGACGCAGTGGTCCTGTCATATTCATATATAATTACATATTTATATATTAATTTAGGGGTGAATGACGTGACATGCATTTTCAGCTGTCCATAATGGCATCTACTAATAAAAATGGGTATTTAAAAAAATAAAAGTTTACACACCCTGCCGATACAGGTGCAGTTCGCTGTCAGAATTAGGCATGAGGCGATAACCGTTTTCAAGGTATACTGCATTATCTCCAGCTGAAAAGACCTCCAAAGATGCCATTTTAAACTGTACAGAAATCTGTGTTTTTGAAACTAGTAAAGACAGCAGATGTCAATGATTCATTTGAGTTATTTAGCCTGACATGTTTATGACTCCAAAATATTTTAAATGTTTTCCAAATTAAAATATATTGTGTACAATGGGGAAAAAGTTTTTGTTTTTCGACATTTAAAATTAATATATTTTAGGGGAGTAATCTCAATACCGTGAAATCGTGATATTTATAATCAAGGTTATCATACCGTCAGAATCTTATACCGGCCCATGTATTGTCAGAATGCCGTTGTTTTGCTTGTTGATGATTACCCAGGCCTTGTATAGCTCCGTCTTCGCTTTTAGCACTACAAAGTTTTAAATCTGGTAATCATGGAACATTATTTCTTGCACATGACCACACAGAACAAAATTGTAGGCATCCAAAAACTTGTAGGCCCTTAACTTCTCTTGTAAAATCACTTGGATGTTCAATGGGATAGTTGTATATTTCGGACTGGATGCTTGGCCATTTCGTCTTATGCAATATCCATTGGGAAGGTGCTATTGCAAATGGACCTGTCAGACAAACACCGCTCACTTTAACATTAATTTTACCAAATAACTGTGCTTATCACTGGGTGACTGGCTGTTATAATACGCTGAAAGCAGTTTGTAAATAATATGTAATTAATATAATTTCTCTCTGATACAACAACACTCTGTACCGGATCGAATGTCATTCCTTTGCTGTAAATGCTTGTGCTCCTGTATTATTGTTTTTTTTTCCCCTGCAACCTTGATGTGCGTGCATCCTGAATGTTTACAAACCGGTAATTCGCCTATACAAAATCTAAAAGAGAAAATTTGAAAAAGTCGCTGCCCCCTATTGACGAGCACTCGCAACTACAGCTGTCACTCAAAAGTACCTTTACTACAAAATGCGTAATTGTATCGTTTTGAGAGCCAGGGAATCGCAATACGTTTTTAGTATCGATATATTATGCAACACTAATCATATATCTTAGCTTTGAAACCCAATTTTTGTTTTAAATAGGCTTTTTACCCTCCCATAAGTGCTGTTGTTGAAATGGCATTATGAAAACATAACGTTAACTATAATAATAACTGTGTTGTCATAATTTGTAGTTTAGTATGTACTTGTAGATAGAAATTGATTAATTGTTAGTCTTTTATATTTCATCTAAATATATTTTCTTTTTTGCCTTCCCAGAATTCCGTGAATCCACGTTATGGGTGGTGTAAAGCAAGAGCAGACTGATGCTCCTGCATCTAAAGACTCTCAGCAGACTGATTCGCCACAGGAAGAGGTTAGATACAGACTGCTTTAACATCATCAATAACACTGTCTATCACATGTCATGCATAACTGAATCATCATAAAAGGTTTTGTGGACAGGCGCACTCATATTTTCCCCCATACACTCCTCCTAAATTGAATTCATGTCAATTTGAATTGATTTGTTACAGAACCAATCGACTTCACAGCCGGTAAAGAAGCGAGGTTGGCCAAAAGGAAAGAAGAGAAAGAAGGTATTGCCGAACGGCCCCAAGGCTCCAGTTACCGGTTATGTCCGTTTCTTGAATGAGAGACGGGAACACATCCGGGCCCTTCATCCAGATCTTCCCTTTCCAGAAATCACCAAGAGACTCGGGGCAGAATGGAGCCGCCTGGCACCTCATGATAAACAGGTATTATTATGGTTATTAAGGAATGACTGGCCAGTTGTTTTATTTTTAATATGGGAAAACCTCACTCTGATTAAATGCAACCACTTTTTTTAAAACAGCGTTACCTTGATGAAGCCGAAAGGGACAAAATGCAGTATGCACGAGAACTCAGGGAGTATCAGAAAAGCGAAGCTTATCAGATCACGTGTGCAAAAGTTCAAGACAAGAGAATCAAAAGAGGTGAGTTTTTTTTTTCTTTGACAGTTTTTTGGTATCGTTATTTTGCGCTTAAATGTATTTGTCTTTTTGTCAAGTATGCAATAGTGATGGGATAAAAAATGTTTTACACTTTATTACACAATTTATAAATCTTTCATTTACATTAACTCATATTAGTAATGGAAGAAACAAAGCTTTAAACCAACTGAACCAATTGCTTTGCAAAATGATATATTTAGATTCGGGGCACCACAAACCACACATGCTAGGGACACCTGCTGGTCAAAACTGTGCAAATGCAACAAAAACTCAGGCAAAACATACATTAGAATTGAATTTTTCAAATACATTGTAAACTTTTAATTGAAAGTATATCGCATAAATGCACGTAGCTTATCATCTAAAATCATTAGATATTAACTGTTTGTATAATATGAGTTAATTTGGGAAATTTTAAAGGCTTATATATCGTTCCGTGATGGGCTCTGCTAAACAGGCCAACAAGAGACAATTATTATTAATATTAACTATAATTCCTTTTCATTCTACAAATGTCTCATTAAGGTGGTTGATGAGGAGAACCCCCTCCAAAAAATGTGTAAAGAGCTTTGAGTGTCCAGAAAAGCGCTATATAAATGTAAGGAATTATTATTATTATTATTAAAATGTGCAAACATGTAAAACTGATTAGAGGTCAAAAAACCCTATGAAACATGTTTAGTAATTCACCACTGGAGAAGTGATCTGAATGAAGCCTCATGATTATTGTGGTTTTTAAGGTATTACACATATTGGCCCAAGCGGAGATGCGTTAAAATGTTGAAATGTTTTAAAACAGTAATGAAACCCCATTAACTGAAATCATGTGACGTTGGAAATGTAATATACGCTCTGAACTACTTATTCGAAAAGATTCTTAACATCTTTAGAAGCTTCATAAAGCAGTAATTCAAAAGCAGTCATCTCTAGGGCTGTGCAATTAATCAAAATCAAATCGCAATTTGAAACATTGCAATTTAGTTAATCGCAAGCGGCTGCAATATAAAATATATATATAAAAAAAGGAATTACATCTCAGGTGAATTGCTTCAAAACCAGTCCACTATGCTTCAGAAAATTAAACATGCTAGACTTTCTGCAATAGTGCTATAAGGCATCGGCAGACATGATATAGATTGTTGTGAACTATACCGTTGCATGAGAAGAAACCATTGAATCTTGTGTCATGTCAAGGAAATCGTGCCGAAATCGTGTGATCTGACTGGGGCTTTAAAACTAGCCAATTGAGTAAGCAAACTTTAATTCAGCCCAATCAGAATTGCGCAACCAAACTACAACCACAATAAAAAAAATCAAATAAAAAGCAAACAAACAGTAAAGTGCTGACAGATGGGATGATGGCATCTGATACTTCGGAAATATTAATAGACTAATTCACATCAAAGAAAAACTGCATTTGTAATATGGGAATATTTTGGTTTCAAAGTCACAGACACCGAATCAACTATTAAAAGCATGGAAACTCCAAATACGCCACAAACCAACCCAGAAAATTCCTATGGTGTTGCTGAATAGACAGAAGATTTAACTACTTTTATTGATTTAAATGTAGAATCATCTTACAGAGTTTTTTTAAACACTCGACTGAAGTTATGAAGTGAATGTGGAGTAAATACATGTTTTTATATGGGATATGTTCACATGCAGCATTTACTACACCACAGGCAAACAGCTGTCATTATCGCAGAATGATTATCTCGATGTCATTATCGTCTGATTAAACTCATTTCGGTTTATTTAAATTGATTTTCATCTGTGAACTACAATTTTGTGTAAACACTGCTTTATCTGAAACCACATGCAGAAGATTTACAAGAACAGGCTTTACTGACAAAATGTGCGTGACTATTACCAAATCCAAATCACTGGTTTAAAACAAATGATTCATGAAAGTTTTGAAAGCACACGTCATTGGTATGCGATCATTTTCAATGGTGCAGGTGTTATTTTTAGAGCAAAGCATTCACTTATCTATTTATTTTACAGAAGAGTTGACTTCTGTCATTATCAACGCCAACAGTTCAGGATCTTCAGGTTTTAAGGTAAGCATATAAACAAAGGCAGAATTCCTACATTATCCCTACCTATAGTTCACCCTAAATGTAAAATGAATCATCTTCAAGTGGTTGAAAACCTTTGAGTTTCTTCTTTTTTATGTTGAACACAAGAGGAGATATTTTGAAGAATGTTGGAATCAGTACATCCATAGTAGGAAAAAATGTTATAAAACTCCAACATTCTTCTAAATATTTTAGTAAATGGAAACATTTTTTAAACAGTTGGAAACAGTTGATATATAAAAGACTTCCTGTATATTGACTCATGTGATGGATTTCCTTCAGAACTCAGACTTCACGGCCAGATTTGATGTCCCTATTTTCACAGAAGAATTTTTGGACCAAAACAAAGGTAAATTATACGGAGTTCTTGTGCTTAAAACTACACAAATGTCTATAGAAAAGCTATTTTCCTAAAATGACCTTTTTTCCAGCAAGAGAAGCAGAGCTCCGGCGTTTGCGCAAGGCTAATGTGGAGTTCGAGGAGCAGAATGCTGTTCTCCAGAAACACATTGCCGACATGTTCAGTGCTAAAGAGCGCCTGGAAGCTGAGCTAGGCCAAGATGAGCTTCGTACGCAGGCCCTACAGCGCCACCTACAGGCTATCAAACAGACGCTAGTCAGCAGCTTGGCTACTGTGCCTTTACCAGGTCAGTACGATACAGTGCCTATAATACAAATACCGTAATTGATATTTAACAACTTTGTGCTTTATGTTGTTTATCAGTAGCGATAGCTTCGTGATCATTGGCCAAGTTGTAATAAGTGTCTTAAGTTGACAGAAAACTAGAAAGCAAAACATTGCAATATTGACAGATTTTTCTTCAATGTGTATACACCACAAAATTAAGATGCTGCATAGATGCAGAGATGTGGCCTTTTCAGTAACAAACTGCTCTCTGCACATCAGCATTTAAAGCTTGTTTGACAGCTGTGCGCTTGTTTTAAATTGTTGCAATTCTATAAAAAATGTCCTGGTAATAAAATAAATGGGTGTGCGAGAGATCTGCAGAGTAGATGGCAACATCAACAGCCTGAGGTATCAAGACATTTGTCCTGCCTTTTAAATTACAAACCACAGAAGAGGGCAAATTCTTCAGCAGGATAGCGCTCCTTCTCATACTTCAGCCTCCACATCAAAGATCCTAAAGGCAAAAAAGGTCAAGGTGCTCCAGGATGGGCCAGCCCAGTCACCAGACATGAACATTATTGAGCATGTCTGGGGTAAGATGGAGGAGGCATTGAAGATGAATCCAAAGACTCTTGATGAACTCTGGGAGTCCTGCATGAACACTTTCTTTGCCTTCCAGATGACTTTATTCATCAGTTATTTGAGTCATTGCAGAGATGTATGCAGTCCTCCAAGCTCATGGTAGTTCTTTGTCCACTGCACCATGACTTTGAATTCTATACTGTACATTATTTCTGTTAAATGACCAAATTTTTGACTAAGCAAAGTCAGACCTTACTGTCCTAATTAAATAGTTAAAAATCAAGACATTTTGTTTTGGTAAAATACGCATAATCTAAGGCCTTTGTCTTTTATATCAGCCACTTCTGTTACCATATGACAAACTAGAAGTTATTGATTGTTGTTCCTAAAACTGACAGGCGACAAGATTTTTGTCAGGTATACACACACACACTGTCCTGTCATAATAGTGAACACGTATTATAATTTACTTTGTGTTTTGTTTAGGCACTGGTGAAACGCCGTCGATTGGGACGCTGGACTCATACCTGAGTCGCCTGAGCAGTGCTTTAGAGAGCAGGCCTCATGAGCATCGTGCCTTAGTCCTTAAGCTACAAGAGCTCTTAGCTCACCTGGACAGGTAGATAATGTGGTACTATGTGCCATAAAACACAAATATCAAATGAGTCAATAAAATGTATCTTATCTCTGTGACTTACTGTTCTGCTCACTGAAGTCTGAAATTTTTGCATGTTTAATTTTTTTTCTTTTTTTCATAAACGGTGGCATAGTTTTGGGTTTTGCTTGTACTGTGCCTCTGATTTGTCAGAACACCGCTTTCTATGGATGCAAAGAACTGAAAAAAATGAAACCAAATCAAAAAAAATTTTCATGACATTAAAGTTTCTGAAGCATTGTGTAATTTCAGTTGACACAACATGAGGTCATTATATGTGGTTGAAGTCAGAATTATTAGCCCCCCTTTGAATTTTCTTTTTCTTTAAATATTTCTCAATTGATGGTTAACAGAGTAAGGACATTTTCACAGTGTGTCTGATAATATTTTTTCTTTTGAAGAAAGTCTTATTTGTTTTTTGTCTTTCGGCTAGAAGTAAGGCAGTTTTTAATTTTTAAAAACCATTTTAAGGTCTATATTATTAGCCCCTTTAAGCTATATATTTTTTTTCTCGACTGTCTACAGAACAAACCACCATTATACAAGACCTTGCCTAATTCCCCTAACCTGCCTAGTTAACCTAGTTAAACCTTTAAATGTCACTTTAAGCTGTACAGAAGTGTCTTGAATCACAAAAAAGGGAAAAAAAAAAAAAAAAATATATATATATATATATATATATATATATATATATATATATATATATATATATATATATATATATATTATTTACTGTCATCAAGGCAAAGATCAAATAAATCAGTTATTAGAAACGAGTTATTAAAAATATTTTGTTTAAAAATGTGTTGGAAAAAAAATCTCCGTTAAACAGAAATTAGGTAAAAATTAAACAGGGGGGTTAATAATTCTGACTATAACTTTACATATATTTTAATTATGACAAAAATATCAGACTCTGTGCAAGGAACTTTACCTTCAGCATTGCTATATATATATATATATATATATATATATATATATATATATATATATATATATATATATATATATATATATACACATATTCTACAAGAAAAATAAAAATTCTCCAAGTATTTTTCAAGCATTTGTATCTAATAGTCTTTTTTTCTGTCAATCACTGCTTGATATCAGACATATCATGCCAGATGATAATTTCTGACTCTGTTAGCTTATTATATGGTTTTCTTTCACTCCAGTGAGAAGCTTTGAATGGTGGGATCTAAAGGTTCTTCATCCGGCTGACCAAAAGCATTCAGAAGGCTTGGGACCCCAGTGCTCTGCCTCAAATGCCAATAACAAGAGCCAAACGGTTTAATTGGGTATTTTCAGAAGGCTTGCTCTGCAATAAGCTCGTTTCACTGGTAACACTGGTGCTGACTGATTCTAAACTTATTGTCATTAATTTTTATAATGCTGTTTTGACAGTTACAGCAGCTCATGGGAAGTCCATTTACATCCACTGAAAGCATGGTTTAAGGATAATGATGTTTGCTAGGATAATGTAATGTAATGCAAAGTGCATTTACTATTCTTTGTCATAATATTTTCTGAATTTAAATGTATGGTTATTTTTGGTCACGTTCCCATTTGAACAGTTGGCATTGCAAAGGGTGATGAATTTAGAGTCAAGAGTTTACACTGCTTTGCTCGTGTACTTGAACTGATTTTTATTATTATTATTGTATGAATTATTTTAACATGGAAAGAGAATATGAAGTGGAAAAAATGATAATAAAACCCAGCATGAACTAGTCTACTTTCTTTTAAACGATTTCATTATTGAGCTGTCTAGCTCACTGTATCCAGCAGAGGGTGACACTGACCACATCATGAAAGCCAATAGTCTGAAAAATAATCATCCTTTATCTTTTGAAATTACATTGTTAGAATATCATAACTAAATTTAGATCGACCAAAAAAATTTAATTATTAGTCAGAATTATTAGCCTCCCTGAAATATTAGTCTCCCTGTTTATTTTTTTTCCCCAATTTCTTTTTAACAGAGCAGATTTTATCAACACATTTCTAAATATAATAGTGTTAATAACTCATTTCTAATAACTGTTTTATTTTATCCTGTCATGATGACAGTAAATAATATTTGACTAGTTATTTTTCAAGACACTTCTATACAGCTTAAAGTGACATTTAAAGGCTTTACTATTTGAAATTGTCCTTGCTCTGTTAAACATAATTTGGGAGATATTTGAAAAAGAAGAAAAAATTCAAGGGGGGCTAAAAATTCTGACTTCGACCGTATGTACTAATTACTATTATCATCAAAGAGAAATGCCATATCTTACTGAATGCAGCTAAAATGTGTAAATTAAGGTTAAATGATTAATAAATCGGTAGTCTTTACTTTTGGGTTAGAAGCCATATTGAATTTAACATGAATGAAAATGAGTCTGTGAAGGTAAAATTTAGGCCAGTTCACAACTTTAAAATGATAGCTATAACAACAGTGATGATTATATTGACATCCAGTTTGGAGACCTATTTTATTCCTCTGATATACACTCAACGGCCAGTTTATTAGGTACACCTTACAAGTATTAGGTCGGACACCCTATTGCCTTCAAAACTCCCTTAATCCTTTGTGCATAGATTCAACAAGGTACTGGAAATATTCCTCAGAGATTTTGGTCCATATTGCCATGATAACATCTGGCAGTTGCTGCAGATTTGCCAGATGTTTATTCCAAGATGTGAATCTCCCATTCCACCACATCCCAAAGGTGCTCTATTGGATTGAGATCTGGTGACTGTGGAGGCCATTTGAGTACAGTGAACTCAAACGACCTCAATTTTTGATGTGTTGTGCGTTCAGATGCTCTTCTACATACCTTGGTTATTTGAGTAACTGCTGCCTCGAACCAGTCTGGCCATTGTCCTCTAACCTCTGTCATCAACAGAACTGCCTCTCACTGGATATTTTCTCTTTTTCTGATCATTCTCTGTAGACCCTAGAGATGGTTGTGCATGAAAATCCCAGTAGATCAGCAATTTCTGAAATACTCAGACCAGCCCGTCTGACACCAACAACCATTATGCCACGTTCAAAGTCACTTAAATCACCTTTCTTCGCCATTCTGATGCTCGGTTTGAACTGCAGCAGATCGTCTTGACCATGTCTACCTGCCTAAATGCATTAAGTTACTGCCATGTGATTGGATGATTAGAAATTTGCATTAACGAGTAGTTGGACAGGTGAACCTAATATAGTGGCCGGTGAGTGTAGCTGTGGTGTGAAGTGGTGTTTTTTATATTTTGATTGATTTTTTTTTTAAAGCTGTATTTTTATAATTATTTTATATGGTATGGATGAGCCTTTGGGTTTACATTGGCTTACACTTTATTTATATAATCAACAGTTGATTTTGTTAAACAACAGAACACTCCACTGAATTCAATGAACTATTGTCACATACAACAGATACATATACAGTCAAAATGAACATTATTAAGACATCTTCAACCTTTCTCACATTGCTTTTGCCATAATTTAGAAACATGATCGAATATGATATAAAGTAGGTCAGATAAATTTGAGAGAAAGGTACAGTATGTTCTGAATTACTATGAACCAAGAATAATTCAGACAGCATTTACTATAATATTTACCCAATTATCAATACTTTGTTGTCAACCTTTAGTCTCAATGACAGCCCGCAGTCTCTGCTGTCCAACCTTATGAATATTTTTAGGGTATTATATGTCAGTTTACTTTATTAGCTATACTTATAAATCACCTGCACTGTCCTGCACCCCTTATCTAAAAAGTCTAATTATATGTGGTGTTTGAATAATTTAAGGTTTGTACATAAATCCTGTTACACTGGGCCATAATAATTCAGTGACGGAGAATGCATAATGGACAACATTGTGAGTGCCTTTCACAACCTCACATTAATCCTTGACGTCCATTGACTTTCTGTCAGAGTTGAGCAGCAGTCATTCACTGTTAGCAGATACCATTAAAATAAATGAGAAGTGCCTTATGCTGTTTCTTACCTGTCACAAAATTGTCTGTAACATCACTAATAGAGCAGTATTTTTCCCCATCAGAACTAGATCAATTTAAAAGTCATGTTTAAGGGCAAAAACAACAAATATTCTTAACATACCAGCCAAACTTGTGTTATTTTACTTGTATTTTTGGCTTAAGGTTGCAGGTTTGCCTTTCATAGACTGTAAGCCGTCTTCAATATTGCAACAGTTAAAGCTGGTCCATGAGCACTTGAAATAAATTGACCGCAACCAACATTATATGCATATCTATATCTAAAAGATGTTGATGGAATTTTTCGTAACTAACATAATACAAATAAGACAAAGGCCTCAGTCACCATTCACTTTCTCAGCTTCTTTTTCTAAAATAAAATGGAGAATAAAGCAGATATTCTCTCATTATAGAGAATGGGAATCTGTCGTGATGTGTTTTCAGACACGTTCAGGAGTGCACAATGTAAACTGATGCAAATTATGACAGAAAAAGCTGACTGTTTCATTTTTAAAACCTTTTGAAAACCACCTTACAAATCCTTTAAATAAAATATAAATGGACCAATGTGTAAATACCTTCATAAACACACATTGTGAAGTTGAAAATATGCATTACCTTAAATTCTGTCCCCAGCCAAAACATTCACTAACATTCGTGGGCCTCTCAATGAGCTACTGCAGGGGTTCTCAAACTTTTTAAAAAGCCTGATGGATTTGTTTTTGCATGTTGTTATTGTTATAAATATTAAGTTGACCATTTCAATGTGGTCATGTCATTGGCCCATGAACATTTCCTGCTTGTTATCAAACTATTCCATAACTGTAACAAGAGACAATTAAATCATAACCTAATGTTAAAACAGCTATCATAACATTATTTATCAATATGTGAAGAGTTCAGATGCAAAAACCTCTAAATGCCATCTTTTTTTTCCTCTAAAATGAGCATTTTTTATTAGTATCCTGTGTGTAGGTTCAGTAATTTTACTTTTATGTCATAGAATAAGTGCTTTTCATGGTATTTAAAGTGAAATAACTCAACATAAACAAAGAAGGGGGAGAGAAATGCTCATATTTTATGCTAATTTCAGATGGCACTTAGAGGTTTTTGCATCTGAACTCTTCATGTGGCTCTTCTTGGATTCTCGGAAGCTATAGAAATTAAAAATGTAAAACAGAAAATATATTGAGACCATTGTTTTTGTTAGCATCCCTCAAAATGGTCTATATATTAAATATATTTACGTTAAAAACTATTTATCTTCTGTAGGTTATGATAAATATGGTAATTCTAATAATTTAATAGCATGTATGAGATTTTTGGAACCCACCTCATTATATCACGACCCACACTTTCAGAATCACTGAGCTACTGTAAGAAAATGTTTCCATAAGTGCTTTCCCTCTTTATTTGTAGTGTGAGCACTTACCGTAGTCTATTGCTGATGAATGTGTGTTATAATAAATCAACAGAGAGCAATGGGACCCTGGTTCCAATGTATTCCCACTGTAATGACACATTCCCATTCTTTATAATGCAGTTCTGTCATTAAACATCTTTGACAGAAGAAACAAAGTAAATGAATGTTGAGCAGCATAGGGATAGGTGAATAATAATATGTGTAGTTTGATATATGTTTGATGAACAATGCCTTTAAATGGGGTTTTCAACCGTTACAAAAGCCAAGTAAAGTTACCTCAAAGCTCACCATCTAAAGCGTATCTTATGCTTATTATAGAACTCAATTTCAGCAAAGTATCAAATAACATTATTTTAAATGCTCTCGAACTTAATTTAGCTGGTTTAAATAACCAGTGAGGGGCGTAGAGTGGTCCTCGTGCTCTTTCTCCAGCTGGCACATCATCACAGCTCGGACCGTGACGTCACTGTAGTAGCTTTCCTCGCGGCGGCGGTGCTGAACAAGATGGCTGTGCGTCGAGTAACGGGCGGCTAAAAAAACGGCGCTAATAATCGCACAAAACCCGAATAACAGCGCATTATATTGCAAGAGGGGGATTGAACCATCCCCGGGTTGAATTAGCTGGAAGATTCGGAATAGAAGCTGTAGTATTTTTTTGTATTTTTGGGGTTGTAGCTTTGGTAACTGGAAAAGGGGAGGTTTCTCAACGCATAAAATCCACTAAAAACGTTTTAACAGCAGTTTATTTTTGTAAAATAACAGAAAAGCGCGCGGAAAATATAAATAAAGAGATGTCACTGCTCTGTGTTGGAGGTAAGTGCATTATTTCATGCATGGATGCGTTACTTGCTGCTGGTTATTGGTGATATATGTTTTATTCAATCCTATATTAAGGGGTAAAATGGCATTGTATTAGGAAAATAGCATTATTACCATAGCATCTGATGATGATTAAATGCATACTTGTGTATAAGAGCATGCATTATTTTCTATATGACTATATCACTGTATCAACAATCGATCAAATATTGATCTTATTGTTTTATTTTTAATTATTGGATTGCATTTATCCCAACAAGAAGCTGAACAATAGATCTGCAATGTGGTTTCTTTTCATGTTTAAGTTTATTTAATTATGCATTTAAATATATATGTTTAATTTAAAAAGGCCATTTTCTTCGCAGAAATGCAGTAGAAATGTCTTTGAGATGAGTGTGTTGAATCCACCGTGTTTTAAATGCAGTCAGGATTCAGGGGTGTGTTCCCTTGATATTCCAGATGGAGCTTTAGTTTTGCTCCTCTGCTCAGATGGGATCTGCTTTGATG